CCCCCCCAGAAAAAGAACACCCCTTTATAACCTCCTCCCCCGGGTCAGAAAACTTAAACATCCTGAACTAATATACATAATTACTATCTTTAGTCGGCTGGTAAATGATCTGGCCATCCTTTTTGCATCATAAAGTTAACAATTGACTTCCTCACCCATTATCATTCATCCAACAGTCAGCAGGCCACAGAATTACTGAATTCTTAATTTATCAATTTCACTAAAATTCTAGTAACCAGAATTTCTCAAATTTTTCTTTCACACGGGCATCCTGACATCGGGGGGGGGGGAATGTGTTCATACTCGTATTTCAATTTCCCATCACGACATAGGCCCAAAAGATAATCTATCATGGATCGGCACTCTTCAGCTTTGTCTGAACTCATCCACCTCTGTAGCCAGAATCCTCTCAAGGTGAGCTCCTGAAAATAATATAGAAGCAGTAACAGTTCAGTATTCTTTTCCCTCACAAGCATATACTAACACATAGCTCATTAGGTTTCAATATTAAATTTTTACAGGTCTTAAATGCACATACTTGAAGCCATTATTTGATCCAAACTCCCCAACAAAAATTAAATATTCTCAGTTATCAATCATGCATTTAATGAACCACTCATTGAGGTTTTCCTTTTTGAATGTCTCACAATTTTATTGTCACGTTATGTCCCTCACTTTGCTGATGCTCATTCAGGTACAATTGAAGTAGCTCCACCATAGAGCCACTTTTTCAGAGGAAAGACACTAAAGTGTGATGCTTGAAGCTTGCCTTGAATATATAAGACGAAGTAGATACAGTTATAGGTCTCTTTGACATCCCCCCATATGTAACCATAGTTCCACCCTGCCTGCAAAGAACACACTATGCCTTTAAATCTGCAAAATTGAACTGGATAGAAAATAAAATAAGAATACCATCTTACTTCAGGAATTTGAGGACTAATGAAGCGGCAGTGCCGCCAACACAGTTAAAGCCCAAAGCAGGTTCAGATATATTGCCCTACAACATTAAAGGAAATGATAATATTTGGTTAAATAAGAAAAAACGTCTGAGAGAAGTTAACGGAGTATTTTAGAGCAATGCCAAAACCCATTGAAGATGTGAAGTTTGGAAAAAGGGGATGGGCAGAGAGGAATGGGAAATGACCTATAGAAATCGCACAGTGTAAACAACACTATACAAGTCATTATAAACTTAAAATGGTTGTTGATTTATACCAGGAGACCTCTGACATTCTTCACTTCCAGTTGGCTTTCAGTATACACATCATCAGCACCGAGTTTCTTGAGATTTTCTTTTGCTTCATCTGATCCTGCCCTGAGAAAGCATTAAGTTTGTGATCTTGTGCATATGTCATGCATTGCAATTTGCAATAGATTAATAGGACCTAATATGTTTATCAATAAAAAACGGACCCAGTACAGTACATCATACGTATATTAATGATAAATACTTAACTGAGACCTGATTGTGTGTAAATTCATTACTTGACTTTCACTGGGAAAAGCTCTCAAAAAAATGAACAAATTTCTATATAGACAATTTGTTTGGAAATGGAGAAATTTATATAGAGACAATTTGTTTGGAAATGAACTCATGCTCCCAGTGGAAGGGCAATTCTCAGGCAATCTATGTTAACTTCCAAACATAAGGAAACTTTGGCAGCAATAAAAGGGGCAAATTTAGACTATCAAGATATGATATCATAACGGTAAAATTTTATTGTTGTCGCTATAGAGAGAACTTACAGATAAATAGCAAGACATCTACTTCAAGCAATTTTTAAACTTTAACAAGAATCTGTCCTTTCTTTTCTGAAAAAAGCACTAGTTTTTCTTTGTAGAGAAATGGCATGTTGCTAAAGAAAGCAAGATTTTCACACCAGAGGATAAAAGCAATGTTTTCACACCAGAGAATTAGACTGTGCTCTGAGCAATTATTTTGGGAAATAAGATAACTTTGTACACCAAGACCAAAACATATTTGCAACAGAAGTAACCTCCACCTGTCTCTAATGATATTGACGCTATGAATCCCACGAAGTCGAGCTAGTTGAATAACACATTGCCCCACCATGCTTGTAGCACCATTTTGTACTATAGTGTCCCCTGCTTATGAAAATATTAGCAAGGAATGGAAGCAAGCACTACCCATATTATTCAGTATAGGACAACCTGGTTTTAGTGTCACAAAGTCCTCAAGCATTCTCAAGGCAGTCAAAGGATTAACA